CCCGGCCTGTATATTTTTTTTATTATGACAAAATATATGTAACATTAAATTTACCATTTTAGCCATTTTTAAGTACACCATTCAGTGCATTAAGTACTTCACAATGTTGTGTGTCCATCTGTTTCCAGAACTTTTTCATCACCCTGGAAACTCTGTGCCCATTAAGCAATAAATCCCCATTTTATACTTTTTTATTTTATCTGAACCATTTAAAACCTAAACCATTATCCTTTTCATGATGACAGAGGAGCAGTGCTGTTATTTTTGGACTCCTTTCAAGGGCAGGCCTGTTTTCCTTCGTGCTGATACCTGGGCCCTCAGGAATGTGCCCTGGGGCAGCTGGAGTCCCTGCGCCTCCCCACCGCAGTTTCAGGAGCTCCAGGGATGTGTGCTGGGCTTCACCCCTCCCAACCCAATCATTTATATTCACACCTTCAGCAGGTAGATGTGACAGAACACTGTCCTGGCAGCCTGTGGCTTACTGGCCCAAGGTCATCTTTCTGCTAGAGAGGGCAGCCTCCCCAGCCATCAGCCACTTGATGGACTACAGGGTCACCACTATCTTCAGGTTGGCATGCATCATCCTGGATCATGCATATTGACAGAGAGAGAGAGAGAGAGAGAGACAGAAACATAGTTTTATTTTTCATAAATTCAATCAGATAATTCATATTGTTTTTCAACTTGTTTTTTGTTTTCTCTTAAAATGTTTTGGAAATCTTTTCACATCTGCATATGGAGTTATTTTCCATACTTTTTAATTGCTGCATAATATTCCATATTATGAAGGGCATGATAACTTTTAAACTATTAATATTATATATAGGTAATTAGGTTGTTTCCCATTGTTTGCCAAGTACAAACAGCACTTCAGTGGCTATTTTTGGACATTCCTCTTTACACTTATGTGTATTTCTTATGTAAATACCTGGGGTGGAATTGCTGGCCAGAAGGAGAAGGCTCTATACATTTATAATTTTAATAAACAACATCAAATTATCCTCTAGAAAGTCCGACCCAGCTTATGTCCCCAGGATCCCCATGTGTGTACTTGTTCTGCATAGTTTCCATGTGCATTGTGAAGTAGGGACGTTACCAATCTTTTCCATTTTTGCTGGTGTGATGGTTAAAAAAATGCTACATTATTTTTTTTACATTTTTTTGATGACTAGTGAGGTTAAACCTCTTTTCATCATATCTCCAGGAGTCCTTTGTGTATTCTGGATATTAATCATTGGTCATTGTATATCTGCACATACTTTTTCCTAGACCTGTGCTGTCCAGTATGTGGCCATTAGCCACATATGACTCTTTAAATTTAGGTTTAAATTAACTTAAATATAATAAAAAGTTGTTTCTTAGTGGCACTAGGTACTTTGCAAGTGCTCTGTATCACGAGTGGCCAGAGAGCTCAGATGTAAACCGTTTCCACTACTGCGGATAGTTCTATTGGAAAGTGCTGCCCTAGACTGCTATTTCTATTTGACTTATGTTTACGGTATCTTTTGTCATACAGGTATTTTAAATTCAGTTTTTATGTTTTGTATCTTGTTTAAGATGGCTTTTTTTTT